TCCCTACATTATTTTCTCTTTTCTTTTGCATGCATTCCCCCTTTTCATTTTCTTTTAGCTTTTAAGCTTTAGACATAGACTTTTCACACCCTTAGATTAGAACAACATAAGTGGATCCGGTAGAGTACTACAGACGTGTGAGGGTCTAATACCTTCCCCTCACATAACCGACTTCCTTACTCGATCTCTATGGTCGCAAGATCGTGATTTCACTCCTTCAAGTTTTATCGATGTTTACCTTTCCCATCCTGTGAGATAAAAGACGTTTGATGGAGACTTCATTGAATTTTATCTTTGATGATTTCTGCCGGTTGTTTCAGTCATGAGAAGTATGAGAGGTTATTTCTCTCAATAGTATTATAGCTCTTGCTATGATTCTTGTGATCATGTTGTTGCACATGTGAGATCTGTGTAAATGCTGATGTAATGTTGCAACATCATGCTTGTTTGGATTATGAAGTGGCATTCATCTCTTGGTTCAAAAGTGCTTCATGAAATCACGATGATGAATGTTGTGGAGAATATTGCTCTTGATAGTATTTTGAACACCAGGCCTAGTGATCTAACGTTTGTTGAGATTAGAATGATTGTAGAGAAGTGGGCTTTTCCACTACAAGTTACTCAAAAAAGAGAATGGGTTTGTAAGAGTCATGATTTTAGTATATAAGAAGTGTAGTCTTCATATAGATTGTTTAGAGGTTAAGCAGATTGTGGTAATATCACCTAAAGAAATCAAGATTGTCATGCTCTCAAAGATGAAGCTTGTATTGCTGATAATGATATTTGTTTATGAATAATGTTCTATAAGATGTTATGACATCCTTCTTTATGTGTGAACTTGGGAAGCTCATAGTTGTCTATCATGTGAAGTTTCTTATACCTTAAATTATCTCCTCGAGGGGGAGAAATAGTTGTCTAAAGAAAGGGAGTATGGTTGATCATTCCTTTTGAAGAAGACAACTGGTAAAGGAGATTTATCATATGTAGATGTATTCTCTTTGGAGTGATCTAAGGGTTATGCTTTTGAGATTTTTTTTATCTAAAGATTGAAGTCAAGATAATTAAAAGCTCTCTTGAAAGGAGTACATGTAAACTCTAAAGGAACACATTGTGACTATCATTACAAGGAATCTCTTTGTGTGCCTAGCCTGAAAAAGGTGTTGGCTTAGTTGAAGACAAGTGAGAGCAAACAATGCTTGAATAGATGCCAGGAAATTGTTCAGGACTCGACTCTGTGCAGATCATCAAGCGGTGCCTGTGGATGATGTATTCAAATACATGTCACGAAGTTGTGTGACACGTATCTTAGATCATTGGGACTTTAAACTTCCATGAGAAATAGTCCGAATAGAATAAAGGCAAGAAATATGTGTTGTGGACAATGCTCATTAAAGAAGAAAGTTTCAAAACATATTTGGTCGGTACACACTTATTGGTTGGTAATGTTATCTTCCTCAAATAACGCTCTCTTTGACCAAGAGTACTATTACTTTCGAGAATCGCTAATTCTTAAGTAACAACTTGGGTATTACAAGGAGTTCTTTCTTCCCTTTCTTTCAAATTGTGTTAAGCTCTTATGGCTTTTGACCGAATATGGGTGAGTACAATCTGAGTAACGTCTTGTGGGGCATTTCTTTGTCAATTTTTGGCTAAAAATAGGGTGAAAACTGGTTATCATATTGGTAATCATATGGGTGATGTACGTCTTTGTAGATATTTTGCAAGGATGTCTAACAAGATGTTCCAGCATCTTGTGCGAGTCAGGTATCATGTTTCTGTTTTTGCATTTCTCTTTGTGTCTTGTGATCTGAGTTATAAACATAATTGTGTCATGTGTTCTGAGTTATCTGGGTTGGAGTTTGGTTGCTTAGGGTAAAGATTTGGATAATTTTGGTAAAACAAGATGTTGATCAATATTTTATAACTTGCAAAGAAAAATGTCGAACTAAATGTCCTATGAAGAACCATCTAACATCGCGCCTGTGTGAAGCTGAAATATTGGATTAACTTGGTCTGGTACAAATACATAGTATTTTGGGAATATTGTGATATCCTATGAGGATATAAATTAGGAAACTAATGATTGAAGTCCTATGATTTAAGAGATATTTCTGTTGTCTTATTTTCTACGGGTCAGCAGAAGTTTTTGAAGCCCAGTTCATTGAAGATTATAAAAGGAAGACTTAGACCTAGGGCTAGGATAACTAAACAGGGTGTAACAAACTTAGAAATGAAAATAAGGGTTTAGGGTTTTGAAAGTCGTGTAATTTCTTGTGTTGTAAGTCACCCTTTGTATCGATTTGATACATTGTGGTAGACATGGTTTTATGCAGATTCAGAAGCCTTTAGGTAATGAATCATGTATTATTCTTGGACGAAGCTTTAAAGAAAATCCAAGTATGTTTGTTAGTCAAGAGTCTTGACTGAACTGGTTCTAATTAACACACACACACACACACACACACACACACACACACACACACACACACACACACACACACACACACACACACACACACACACACACACACACACATATATATATATATATATATATATATATATATATATATATATATATATATATATATATATATATATATATATATATCATTGAGGTGGTTTAGGAAGTGAGATATCGATTTCTCCTATTTAGGATGTTCCTGGGTAGAAGTTGCACTAGGTAAGGATTAGGCGAGAAGTTATAAACGGTGGAGTTTAACTTTGAACTAATAATGTTGATAGTGAACTTCCTTCATGGCTTGGTAGGCCTCAGAGTAGGTGTTATTGTAAACCGAACTGGGTCATCATATATTTGTGTTATTAACATTCTGCATTATTCAGTTTTATTTTTTGATTGATTGACATATCATATAAGATGTTGAAACATCTGTTATGACTTTGAACTGATAAGGTTTATATCAGTCTGCAGTATTTTGTCCATGTTATGTTAAGTAGAGATCTTTGTCTCAACATTTGTTAGGACATTGTTATCAGTATAGCAGAACTCCAACATCATTATCGCTGAAACATTTATCGATAACAAAGTCTTCCTCGAATTCCTTATCTGTACCTTTTTCCGATGAACCATCGTTGCTATTTTCTTATTTTGATTCGTCTAACTCTGAATTAGATGTATTCTTGGTATCCTTCGACCTCGTAACAAGGACAATACCCTGCGCCTCTTCCATGATTTTGATTCTAAAGGTGATTTGGTTTATCTTAATGTTTAGAACTTTGTTGATCACCGAAGCACATCTCCTTCTGATCATAATTCTGGCTAAATCCAACTTAGCTTTCTTATTAGTGTTGTCATCACTACAAATATAAACACCCAGGATCGAAGATAAAAACTCAAAGAACCTAAGAATCCAAGCATGGAACGGAAGCCCATAACGATATAACCACATTACCCTCTCAGGATCCACATCAGTTGGTCTCCATTCTCTAAATTCTTAAACCATTTCCCTAGCCAGTCTCTTCCACCTTCCAATAACGCTTTCATCTCACCTTTGTCATATCCTCTTGGAGACAAAGATTAGCACTCAAAGGATTTATTTTGACTGAGAAATATCCCTCAACATGGAAAATATCTTGCATGGTATATGTTAACTTTGAGTTCTCCACCACCCAAACAAAAGCCTTCTCGAATCTAAATAAATCATCTCCTTCAGATTGAAACTTTGAATGAATTATTGGCAAATTATAATGATTGGACTGATTAAATCGTGAACCCTTGGTTTCTCAAACCTGGAAACGAGTTAACCTTTTCCTTCATTCTACCCGAGAGATGCCTAAGTTACCTTTCTTCACACCATAATCCTTCATATCCCTCACTACATCCCCATACTTCTTTGTCCTAACCTGTTTACGTTGAAACTTAGGTAAGTTGGCAAATAACTTTTTCCCTTCTAAGAAAATATTATCAAGCTTTGTGGCCAACAATCTTTCATCAATTTCATCGAAAAAGCGAACAAACCCAAACCTCTTTCCTCTCTTGTCTCTGTTAGGCAGAATAATCACTTCATCAATATCCCCCATCTCCCTAAAGACTTGATACAAATATTTAGCACTCCATTTCTATGCAAACTCAGGTATGAAGAAAGTTGTTGTAGTAGACCCTCCTCGTCTTTTCTTGAATACTCTGTACCCATCTTCCTTTGTGCCCACGTCGTGCATTACTAGATGAAACTCTTGTCCATTCGTCATCTTCCTTATTCTTCCCGGATTGAGTTTCCATTTAAATCTTATTGATCTTGATTCTCTAATTTGAAACCATAAATACTAATTATAAAAAAAATTAGAGTCATTAGCATGCGAAAGAGCTTATTAAAATTACTTTTTTTAAAAGAAATATTTTTTATAAAAAGTTATTCAAAATAGTTTTATATTTTAAATCATTTTTAAATCATTTTTAAAATTTCATCATCGATATTAGAGTTGAATAAATCATGAAAGAGAAACGAGAGTGAGAGAGAAAGAGAGAGCGGACAATCAAAGAATCTCCTATTAGTTATGATTCATTGATTGATTAAAAAGCATGAAGGTTGCTATATTCAACTCAAATAATTGATAAAATATCATAGCAAACAATATAAAATATTTAAAATAATTTTCATATAACACCACTTAAATCCATTTTTTTATTTAAAGTTTTTTTCTTTAAAAATACTTCTCTTTAAAAAAATTATTACAAAAAGATAAATTTTTTAAAAATAGGTTTATGAAATTCATTTCAAAGAAGTTAAACCTAACTGTCACATTTGTTGAAACCATCAAATCAATTCTCGTTTCTTTTCTATATTTGTCTTACATTTAATAACAACAAACTCAACCACATTTAGGTTTACAAAATTCATCATAACCAAATCCTAATCCTCATTTAAATACAAAAAGACCACCTGCGAATCGTCGTATTAGTAATTTTAATAATAGAAACCTAAGAATTTTCCTTGGATTTTCAAAACCATAATTCTTGTTGATCTACAAAATAGAAATATATGGCTTCTGTTGAACCTCAAAACGAGAGAAACCACGTTAGGTTTTCGACATTGCCTCAATCAGAAACCGAAGTTAATCATCATGAACAACAACCGTTATCAATCTCCAGAAACACAAGAAGAATACCAACAATTTCTGACAATAATTACTCAGAAGAAATCTGCAGCATTAGCCCTTATACATGCGACAAAATCCAAAACCTTCTTGGTGTCACAATGTTAATGTTACTAATATTTTTACCTCTTTATAGACGTTCAGGAACACCAAAACAAGACCCAATCCCACCCATTTTCAACCTCAATTCAATTTACATTTCAAATTTCACCATAGGAACGAAAGGACTCGCCGCAACATGGGACGCGAAATTCACAATCACAAACATAAATGTCTCGGCTATCCACTTTCGCAGCATTGATTTCACAATATTCTACAAACAAAATCCTGAAGATGCTCTTTCCGTTGCTTCTTCGGACCCTTTTAATTTGTTCCAAGGGGAGTTTAAAAAGCTGCATTTGAAGTTCATGACAATGGAGACAGCTGATTGGGAAGCTAATCAACAGCAGCCATTCGTGGAAAGTAATTTGGTAGAAGAAATAGGGAAAGATAGAGCTAAAAATAATGGTACATTGAGTTTTGGAATTCAAATGAAGGTTCAAGCTAGTTATTATGGTGATTATTTTGCTGAAACATTGATTTCTGATGTTGTTATGACACCTTATTGTGATGATTTGGTGGTTCATTTTTTTCCTCGTGAGAATTCAGGAAGGTTGGTTACCCCTAATAGGAATTTCTTGGTTCCAATTCACTGGAAGCCAGTGCCTTTCTCTTGAAATTATGTTCACATGTTTTTCATATCAATGATTTTAGTACCCTGTAAACTTTTGATACTTTCAATAATTCATGTGTGATTTTATGAATAACTATTACTAATTAAAGTCAACAATTTTATGACTTGACTTAACAATAGAAAAAAGAAAAATGTTATTTTCACACTTATTCTTAAAATTTGTTCACGAAAAATAACTTTTAAATAATTTTGATTTTTTTCTCTCTTTGTAACAATAACATGTAAAAATTTGATTAATACAATTTGAAATAAGTGAATTGATATGAAAAAGTAATTTTACTTAGTATAATAAAGTCTATTATTTTAGTGTAAGGAATTAATAAATATGGTTGATAGTTTGGTTATTGAGGGCTCTAACAAAAAATAAAGTTTTTTGTTATAAATTAACTTTAATTAATTGTATGTAAAATATTGATTAATATAATTTATAATTTGATTAACAAGTGTCTAAATATAAAAAAAAATAGTAAAGAGTAAAATAAAAATGATTAATGTGTTAATGTGTGACATACTTTTACGGAGAGAATAAAGAAAAATAAGAATTTTTATTATTGACTTGAATTGTACAAATAATTATACAAACTATAACTATTTATATATACCTAACTTATATACTAAGTAGACTAACAAACCCTAATTGTACATGAGTTACATAACTTGAATTAAGTCTAATATCTCAACATAGCCCTTATAATCCAAGTTGTCGAACATATTCTAAAAATAGTCAATCTGAACTATTCCTAATTTCTTTCTTAAATTCAGATATTTGTCGATCTTCAATCCTTTGGTAAAATGTCGGTCAATTGTGCTTCACTTGAGCAATGACTAACTTCAAGTTCACTTCAATTTATATTTTCCTTAAAGAAGTGAAATCTAGCTTCGATATGTTTACTTCTTCCATGCAGAGCTAGATTCTTCTTCAGATTTATGGCTAACTTGTTGTCGATTTGTAACACAAGAGATTTCTTCTCTTCGACCTCCATTTCTTCAAGTACCGATCTGATTCAAATTGTTTGACATGGAGCATAGGAACCCGCTATATATTCAGCTTCACATGATGATAATTCCACCGCAGGTTGCTTTTTCGAGCACCATGAGATTGGAGCACCAAAGACTTGAAAAAAATATCCAATTATGCTTCTTCGATCTTCCTTATCTCACTACTATAAAACACCAAACAACAACGCCAAGTTTACAACGGATTCATATACACCATCGTAATAGGTTAAAAAATTTGCCCCAGTGAGTAGTAGGGTTTATAAATAGTAATTTAATGACGGTTGTCTTAAAACACCGTAGTAATAAATGATGTGTAGCAAGCTTTGATTCCCAAAAACTAATTTTTTTTCTATTTTTTAGAGTATATTAAGCGTGTGTCACTTAAGTCCATTATTTAAAAAATAAATTGTAAATGATTTAACAACGGTGAAGTAAACCAATCGTTGTTAGAGAACTTAAATTTCCACTACGCTTGTGTTGCACAACCGCGATTAAAGGGTTTATTGATAAATTAAAAAAAAAACTTATTATGTTTTTCTTTCATAAGATGCCCTATTCGAACAAGTGATCCAGAGACGATAGCAGTGGCGTAATATTTACCCTCTTCGTATCCATTCATTTGGAGTACAAATCTTCACCCTCTTCATTCATTTGATTCTTCAGCTTCGAAGTATTGTACTCTTCAATATCTTCATTCCTTTTTCTTAGTTTATGTTGTATATGCTCAAATATTCACCCTCTTCGTTCATTTGTTTCGTCTTCTTCAAAGTACAATACTCTTCAACATTTTCATTCCTTACGTGCATAAGATTCTTCACCTTCGAAGTATGGTATTCTTCAACATCTTCGTTCCTTTTTTCTTTGCTTATGTTGTATATGCGCAAGTCAGTATGAGAGTACATTTTTCATATGCTTTAGGTTTAGATTTGCATATGCATATGATTAAGGTTTAAAGTTATATTTTTGTTATGAATATGCTTTAGTTTTTGGATTAGACTTTGGTGTGTTATTCAGATTATTATACGTGTATAAATTTCAGAATTTGTTATGGATCGTAATTGGATGAAAGCTAATAGATTAGGTCTGATTTATGAGAACGAAGTTCTTGAATTCCTTGAATACGCTGATAAACATCTTCCCGACAATAATGGTATCTTTTATTGTCCTTGTGATGTTTGCACGAATATCAAAAATGGTACAAAGAAAGAAATATTTCATCACCTTTGTTATGATGGTATATGTCAAAATTATATAATATGGACGTGGCATAGTGAGGTGGATAAAGGGAAAGTCGAGAGTCACAAAGTCAAAGAGTGTATAAAGATGAATATATGGAAGATCAACTAGAGAATATGTTATGTGATATTGGGGAATCTTCTTTTAAAAATGCTCATATTTATGATACTTTATATTGTGATAAAGTCACCTCTTTATATAAGGGATGCACATATTTTACACGATTGTCGGTGGTGTTAAAGTTGTTTAATCTGAAGGAAAAAATTGGATGGTCAGATAAAAGTTTCACGAAATTACTTGAATTGTTAAAGAAAATGCTACCATAAGATAACAAGTTGTTGGATCATTTCTATGAGGCCAAGAAGATAGCGTGTCCAAAGGGTCTGGAGTATATCAAAATACATGTTTGCCCTAATGATTTCATATTATACAGAAAAAAGTATGAAGACTTGTATCAATGTCTGAAATATGGTGTGTCGCATTACAAGATAAAGGCCCATAATGGTGATGACAATGACTATGACAATGTTAGTAGAAAGCATCCTCCTGCTAAAGTGTTATGGTACTTGCCAATAATTTCACGATTTAAGAGACTTTTTGCTAATTCGAATGACGTAAAGAATATTAGATGGCATGCAGATGAAAGGACTTGTGATGGAAACATTCGCTATGTAGCTGATTCGTTGCAATGGAAGAAAATTGATTTGTTGTTTCCGGATTTTTGAGTTGAGTCAAGAAACCTTAGGATTGGGCTTTCCACTGAGGGAATGAACCCCTTTGGTAATCTAAGCACTAATCATTCTTCGTGGCCTATTCCTCTCACTATTTACAAACTATCTCTTTGGTTATACATGAAGCACAAGTATATACTTTTAAGTATAATGATTGATGGACCATGACAACTTGGTAACGACATAAATGTTTATCTAAGTCCATTAACTAATGATTTATGACTCTTGTGGGATGAAGGCATTGAAGTTGATGATGCATATTATGGGGAAAATTTGAAGGTGTATTATGTTATTTTTCATAATCAACGACGTTGCTGCTTACGGTAACTTGGTTACATATAGTGTCAAAGGACATAGAGTGTGTCCTATGTGTGAAGATGATACATGTTATCACAAACTTGAGTTTGGAAAAAAGACTTTTTACCTTGGGCATCAAAAATTTCTAAAACCCGATCATCCTAATTGTAGATTATAGAAGGCTTTTAATGGAGAGCAAGAGTTTGATGAGGATCCTGAACCTTTAATCGGGGATAAAGTTTATCAATGGCATGAACACATTAATGTTGTCTCTGGGAAGAGAGAAAAAGAAAAAAGGGCAGTTGCAAAAAATATATGGAAAAAGAGGTTCATCTTCTTTGATCTTCCATATTGGTCAATTATTGATGTTAGAGATTGTCTTGATGTGATGCACATGGAGAAAATGTCTATGATAGTTTGATTGGCACACTTCTAAACATTCCAGACAAGACCAAATTTAGTAAGACTTCTCGTCCTGATATGGAGGCGATGGGTATACGAAAACAGTTGGCTCCAATAGAGAAAGGAAAAAGAATTTATTTGCCTCCAGCATGTCACACTCTATCTAAAAAGGAAAAGAAAATTTTATGCGAGTATTTGAAAGTTATTAAAGTTCCGCAAGGTTACTCATCAAACATTAAGAAACTTGTATCATTGAAAGATCTCAAGTTAATTGGTTTAAAATCTCATGATTGTCATGTATTGATGCAACAACTTCTACCAGTGGTTATCCTTGGGATCCTACCAAAAAATGTGAAAGTAACTATAACGAGATTATGCTTATTCTTCAATGCCATATGTAATAAAGTTCTTGATTTCAAAAAATTAGATGAATTAGAAGACGAGGCTGCCATTATCTTGTGTCAATTGGAGATGTATTTTCCTCCATCATTTTTTGACATTATGGTCCACTTACTTGTTCATCTAGTCAGAGAAATCAGAATTTATGGTCTAGTTTATTTAAGGTGGACATATCCAATAGAGCTATATATGAAGATCTTTAAAGGATATACAAAGAATCATCAACAAACAGTAGCTTCGATTATTGAAAGGTATACCACAGAAGAAGTTGTTGAGTTTTGTACAAACTATTTGTCGGATGCAGATTCTATAGCAATTATAAAGTATTATCATGCTGATTGAGACAGAAGAGGTATTCAAGGTCTAAATGTTAATTCAATGGCTCAGGATGTAGTTATTCAAACATATTTCTATATATTGCATTATATATGAAGTTCAACCCTTTCATAGATACACAGAAAATACTTTTGAGGAAAAAATATCCCCGAATAAGTGATAAGTTGTTGTTGATAGAGCATAACAAGAGATTCATATATTCGTTTAATAAAAGTATGTCTAATGATTGTAGTGCATCTGAGATACTTAAATGGTTGTCGTACGAGCCAAAATTTTGTGTCATTACTTGAACTACATATGACATTGGTCATTATACCTTTTATACAAAATCAAAATATGATCGTAGTACATTGCAAAGTAGTGGGGTTATGGTTGAACCCAAATCGATGTATTTCTCTAGTTCGAAATATAAGAATCATGTATTGGAAACTACCACGCTTTATGGTGTCATTTACGAGATTTGGGAGATTGATTATATTATTTTCAAAGTGAATTTATTTAAATGCAAGTGGGTTCCTAATAATAGTAAGGGTGTACACATTTATGACATAGGATTCACCCGAGTCGACCATGGCAAGGCATC